GGGGGCGGCGAGGAGGGGCTCATTTCGAAAATAATTCAGTATGGAAACATAACAGATTTTCCTATAAGAAAAAAGAAACCTGAAGCATTTCTATTTAATTCGAAGAAATGACAAGCAGGTCGATTGATGTTTGTACAAGCGTTTATTTATTTATGTATTTATGTATTATGCATTTATGAATTTATGTATTTATTTATTTATTTGTTTATTTATCTATTTTTGTCGACGCATAATTCTAGTATCTATCTTTAGCTCTCATGAAATGGGAAAGTCCGGACGTTCTTACGGCTATTCATTCAATGCTGTGTTTCTGCAATCAATTATCGGAAATAGCCACTGAAGTAATTGCGCTTTTGCGTGATGAGCTAGTAATTCCTGTCGCCGCGGGGGTTCGGTGAAACTTTTGAACCAAACGCACCCAATGGCTCAGAATGATGAAAGCAACTTAGACACACATAAGATAAAGTGCCCAAGAGAAAAATGTGAAATGGTGAACACCCAATTGTAATGATACCATGTATCGTAGATTTTTTTTTTTTAATAGTGTCTGGATTTTATAGAGAAAAAAGCTTTGGGGAGTATTTAGCTCAATCTATAAAAACCAGTTACCAATATAATCTTATTTTTGGAGTTCTCTATTAACTTAGAGGTCTTTCATCTTACCCAAAAGATGTTAATGCGTTAAAAAGGAAATGCTTGAGTAATACTAGAAACAAATTCGGTTGGATATAAGCTCTAAAAATTGACAATGCTATGTTTTCCCAGATATCTTAGATGATAATCTTGATAGCCACAAGCTTCTTATTAGAAAGCATAACATTAATTTTTATGATGGCTTTTCAGAGATGTGGGGATGGGTAATCCTCTGTTTTAAGGGTAATTCCTCAAGCATAAGGTGATGATCATTATAGTGGCTATCAGATGCCATGATAAATTAAATGATCACTGTGATTTCACAAAAACATTGATTGCTTTTGGTCGAATCCGCAATTGCTCGTACTTTATTGTTGCAGTAATTTATGCACCGCTCGTCTCCGAAGCGGAAAGTCTGAGCTCGAGCCTCGGTTCGGACACGGATATTTTTCGCCCTCTCCTGCCCAACCAGCAGTAATGGGTATCTGACTTCGAGTTAGGGAAGTAAATGCGGTGTGGAAAGGAACTGGCCACCCTACCACAATATGCCGAAGGCCCAGGAAGTTGTCTCACTAACAAGGCAATCCCCAATGTCCGGATCGGATGCGGGAACAACTTTACCTTTTTTTAAATCATATGCACACGGTTAGCAGTTTTGTTGACTCAACGAAAAATACACCATGCCTAGTCAGTATGGGGAAACACTTTATCACTTTTAGATGACATTATTAATAAATTCATTTTCATTTCAATGTTAATGTTTTACGTCCCCACTGACACAATTGTGATTATTTAGGAGGCGGGCTTCGATTCTACCTGTCAAGGCCAACCCGGGCTGTGAGGGATACCTTGTCCCAGCAGAAAGGCGGAGACACTAAAATTAAAATAAAAACAATTCTCCAATGGATATCGAACTCAGGTCTTTTGCGAACGTCGGCAAAGCACCCCACCGCTATCCCACAAATACCGGTTCACATTTCGTGGACTGCTTTTCTTCATTATTATGATAAGCACAATGAAGGCCTTGCATTGGTTCCTTGATAATGGGGTATCAGAGCTTCAAAGCGTTCATTTCAATTTTCACCCTGGGG